AGATTAGAAAATTCCCTTCACCTCTATAAGGTCCCTCATCACCACAACCTTTCCTGACTCTGTCAAACACAGAATCAGTGGCAACAGATTTCTTACAACAGGGCTGTACTATTGTCGACTAGTGTAAATTTTATTTAGTGAGCCGTATGTTATTATACATGAGATGGGTTTGAGTCTGCACAACTTCTAGTAATGAAAATTTTGTGTCAGACAGAAAAATTCTTTCATGTTTATTTTACAGAGTCCCAATTAAACATTTTTCAATTTGACTTAGTTTTTTGATCTTATACAGCTCATTTATATTTAGTAGATCACAGTAGAAAAGATTGACAAGCTAATATAAAGCCCTTTTAATTATTTATTGCACATAAACATAAATACCTTCTGAGGCAGGTCATGTTCATAGATAATAAAAATGAAAAAGAACTAATTAGATAGAACAGTTTATCCTTAATTAGGTGATAAATGCAACTTTCGGCAAAATTGGTGTTTTCTTTCTAACTCACCAGAGGGCACTCTTTTCTAGTGAATTGCTTTTAACTCTGTTCTATTGAATGATTATATTGTACTTTGAAAAATTCAAGGTCAGTGTTGGGATCCAGGTGTGGATTATTTGGAGAGTAATAATTTTTTTTTTTTTTTTTTTTTTTGGGTAGCTTTCAGTTGTTTTCTTTTGTCAACTGTTCTGTAAGTGGCATTAGAAAGGGCCGTGCAAACAAGCCGATATTAAGTGCTAGGAACAGTAGTATGTGGAAGGGGGATCAACTACCTCCCCAATTTAGTTTCTTTGTGCTTACTAGCTCTGTAACATCATGGTTTCTCTTTATTCACGTTTAGATTTCCGGTCGGGTAGAGCAGCGGCTTCAGGAGATAGAGAGAGAGATGCGCACAGAGAGGGAGCTGGTGGAAAGACGCCAGGACCAGCTGGGGCTCATGTCCTTGCAGCTTCAGGAGGTTTGTGAGAAATACTAGCTTGGGATTGTGAAATTTCTCTTTTCATTTAAAAAAAAAATGTTGAGTGGTTTTTCACGTATGGTGTAGCCTTGAATTTGGATAGTTATTTAACCATATTAATAATCCCTTAGTTGTTGCATGTATCTGTAAGTATAATTCCACCCAAATGAGAAGCACAGCATATTTCTTGTAGGTCAGTGTACAGAATCAAACCTGCCTGGGTTCGTACTTGCTGTGTGCATGACCCTAGGGAAAAACTGAACTTCTCTAGGCAGTAGTTTCTTCTGTGGAAAATGGAAATAAAAGTAGCATCTACCTAATCAGATTAGTGTGAGGATAAATGAGTTAATGCTGGTAAGGCTCTTAACATAGTGTCTGGCACACACTCAGAAAACATTAACTGAAAGTATAATCTGATTAATTTTTCTGGGCATGGACCAGAAGTTGGATAATCAACTTCTAGGTTCATCAAACTATAGCCTACAGATAGAAGTTGTCCCATTGTCTGTTTTTCTAAATAACGTTTTACTGAAGCATGACCACACTTATTCATTTACTTACGTATTGTGTGTGATTGCTTATGTGACACAGTGGAGTAGTTAAGTACTTGTGAAAGTGACTATGAAAGTTAAGTACTTGTGAAAGTGACTATATGGCCCACACGGCCCCAAAGTATTGACAGTGTGGCCCTTTATGTGTACAGAAAAAGTTTGCCAACCCTTGAAGTAGATTGTCACCAATGCAGATTATCCTTTAGGTACTCCTTTTGTTTTGAAATTTCAGACTTATGATAAAATTGAAAATTAGAGCAGAGGATTTCTGCCTGACCTTCACCTGGATTGCCTCATTAGTCATTTTCAAACAGATTTTATCATTTTTTCTATACATATTCATTCTCTCATTTTTTTCTATACACATTTTTTCTGTGCACATCCATTTTCTGTACATATCCGTGGAGGGACAGTAGAACCACCATAGTTGATTACCCCCCTACATTGACCAACTCCTTAAGTTGACCCAATTTTCATAAACCAGACATGAACCACATGTGCATATCAGTACAGTAGGCTTACCGTGTTTCCCCGAAAATAAGACCTACTCCCCAAGTAAGCCCTAGCAGGATTTCTATGCATTCGTTAAATATAAGCCCTACCCTAATAATAAGACCTAGTGATGGGTGTGGCTATGCAGTGTATCTGCATAGCCATGCCCTGCATTTTGGCGCAGAGTGGTAAGGAAGACTGGAATACCTTTTATTTGCCACAGCTCCTTTCTCCAAGTCGTTGGCACTTGTGCAGGTGCACGTGTGGTAACCACAGTTGCAGGCATCCTATTGTGCATGCCAATGGCTGGGGGAAAGGAGTTCACACATCCCTAGTGCCAGCCCCACCAACAAGGTCCCCCTTTCAGGT